GCCGTCCCATGTATCCCATCCTGAGGTACATGTGGGGCACGGATGCGTACCGGCAGAGCATAAAGGTGAGGCGAGAGGCGCGCGTGTAAGCGTGCGTGTGCAGCTCTGTGCAGGGCGCGTGGGTCTGTGCCCTGCGTTGGGGCTGTGTCAGAGCTTCAGTCGTTCTCTCATTCCTTGCAGGCTCTGGCTGATTACGCCTCGGAGAACCTGGAGGCCATGAACCCCCCTCTCTTTTTGCGCTTCCTTAATTTGCTCATGAACGATGCCATTTTCCTATTGGATGAAGCCATACAGGTAGGGCTGAGCGCGCGTGCTCTCTGCATCGCGTAGGCCACAGTTCTCGCTCCCCTGAAGGTGGCCGGGCACGACAGTGACCTTCTGTCCCCAGAACGGTGTCGGCTCGCTCTGGTCTCCTGACAAATCCGCGCGGTGGATACTTGCAGGAAGGGGTTCCCTGCTGGGGTGGCCAGGGCCCTGGAGGAGGGGGTGAAGGCAGAAGGACGGTGGGGTCTGGGACGCTGCACGCGGGGCATTCCTCCCTCCCTTCAGTCTCAGGAGGCAGGTCACAGCAAAGAGGAGCAGAAGGGGTTTTTTCAGATCCAGCACAAAGAGTGCTCGGGGAGTGTCGAGGAAACCTGCCTGTCGCTAATCTGGGCACAGCCGGGCTTTAAACAATGCCTGTGCTGTTTGATTACCAAGTCCCTGTGGCCTTTCCGCGGGTGTTTTGTCCTAACAAAGGCCTCTTGTCTCCAGGCAGCTCTCCCCTGGGTTTACGAGGCGAGTGCCAGGCGAACGCGCGTCCCTGGTGTGTGTGACTGTCTCACCGCACCTTCCAGAGCTGCCCGTGGCTGGGAGAAGGGACTTTTCTGGGGAGCTTTTACCGGCCGTAGAGCTGGTTGTCGGGAGGCTGGCAGGTGAGGCGGGTGATGTGGATATCGCCCGTCTGGTTTTGAATGCTTACGGACTTTCTACAGTTTGCTGTCTGAACAGATGTGTTTTGTGAAACGCTGAGAGTAGTGAGAGGCCTTTTCAAGCACAGTGTTGTACCTTTCGCCTCCCAAATCAGCCTCTGTTGGCCCGGAGCAGTGCAGAACAGCTCTGGGTCAGCCACCTTTGCCTGTTTACCGGTTGCCCGTTTGCCCACGCGCTTCCCTGCCGTGTCTTCGCAGTACCTCAGTAAGATTAAAGTTCAGCAGATCGAGAAGGACCGTGGCGAGTGGGACAGCCTGTCGCAGGAGGCTCGCCGCGAGAAGGAGGCGAGCCTGCAGC